TGCCCCTGACTGTCCAGCTCTGTATCACAGAGTTTACCAGATCTGCTCTGTATGATACCAAGTAACTCTCTGGTCAGTGGAGGACTCTCCAAATCAGGGGCAAGGCCCCTGACTCTTACTGCTGATTGTGATCCACATCCCTCATTGTTTGACCAGGAAAGCATTTCTGAACACCTCCAGCTTGGACACTTTATTCCAAAAGGACCTCCAGCCTCCGGATGTGAGCAGCCACTGCACTTTCCTGCCCCAGCTCTGCCATCTTTGCACAAGCCAAAGCCAGTGCACAAGGACTGACTTCTGGTTGCCAGTTGGTGCATCTCTAGGGTATGGTTTTCTCTCATACTGAAAATGTCTCTGTTCTTGTACTTGCCAGCCTGGAACTGTTTCCACATGGAAAGTCTGGAAAGTCCCTGGAATGAGTTAATGCGTGATTTAAATCAGACTTGGATAGAGTAATTCTGAGAGTGTGTGCTTAACACTTTTCCTTTAGGGACAGGAACTTACTATCTAGTCCTGTCTGATCTGGAATTCACTATATGGACCAGACTGGCCTCAAACTCAGACATTTGTCTCCCTCTGACTCATGAGTGCTGGTTTTGAAACACATACCACCACATCTGCAATATCTTCTTATACAGTTTATATTCGTGAGAGCAAGGAAATGGAACCAGCGCCTAAGTACCCATTAAAAGATAAATTGATAATAAAAAATATGTGACACGAAACTGATTGAATATTACTCAGCAGTGAATAAATATGAAATCATGAACTTGCAGGAAAACACATGAATCTTGGGAGTACACCATTAAACAAGGTGATCCATACAAAGAAAGACTGGGCATTCTTCCCTGTGTGGAATGCTAGCCTATAATGTACACATGTGTGAGGGTAATACTGGGTGATGATGAAGGATGGGGACAATACATAGGACACACACAGAAAAGATATTGGGGGCTGGGAGCTGCATGGAGGGCCAAGGAGGCAAAGAGTTTGGGTTAGGAGAACCACAAAAAATATACTCTGTTCCCAAAGTCAAATGCTATCTAATATATTATATGATGATTTTAAGTATAAAAATAAAATCAATAAAAGTGAAAAGATAGTTTACCTTCAACCTTACACCTCAACCATCTATGGTGACAATCAACATGATAAGGTCCCCAATTTGCAAGTTTCCCTATCATATTCTCCATCTCCTCCCAAGATCCTATCTTTTTAAAATTTTTATTATATTTATTTATATGGAGCATTGCATGCATAACATAGGGAAGGTATTTGTGGAGGTCAGAAAACAGCTTGCAGGAGACAGTTTCTCTCCTTATACCACCTGGGTTCCAAGGTTCAGAAGCAGGTTACAAGCTTGGCAGCAAGCTCCTTTGCCTGCTAAGCCATCTTGCCAGCCCATCTTTACTTAAGTTACTTTCTCTTGGTGTTTGATACTTTCAGCCTCTTTCAGGAGGAGCCATAGTCTAGCAGCTTCTGCTCAATGCTGTCAGAAGCCAGCCAGGAAATACAGTTTAATAAATAGCAGGGAGAACCTCATTCCATCCTGGCAGTAGTCATGCCTACTATATCCTAGTTACTAGTAGACACAAATGTCTGAAGCTCAGCCAGTTTCTTTGCCATTAATATGACTTTAGTGATGATGAAGAGACCCAGAAATGCTGTGTGTAAGGACGCAGAGTGAACTCTGATATGTGCATACTTACAAAAAAGACTAAACAGCCTGGAAGTCTTGTCTAAGTCGCTGACAACTGGGAGCCTCAGCTCCCTGTTCATCGAAGGCTCATTAATAGAAACTCAGAGCAGGCTGCAGGTCTCAAGAAGGATGAGGAGACACCTAGAGCATCACATATAATCAGTTTATTGCCAGGTAAGAAATTCATATTAATATAGTGAATACATATGTTTACAAATAAACATTCTTAGAAAACAAACAAATGTTTTTTTCTTCATTGTAGGAAGTGTTATTGTATCATAAACTCTGCAGTGTGACAAGTGTTAACACAGGGTTACTTGCAGAACATACAATTACTAAAATATTTGCACATAAAATATGCTCCATTTACACAAAAAAACTGGGGGAGGTTAGATGGGAATTCCAGGCAGAGCCCAAGGCAGATGGAGGCTGAGACACTCCAGGAAGGTGAAGGAAACCAGATTCTGGTCCCATGGAGTTAGAAATCAGCGGTCACATGGACAGAGGAGAGAATGGTTTTGTAATCATATTTTTCTCTTCTTCTCTATTTCTCTCCCTGGCTAGCCACAGGAGCCTTGTCACATGGCAGCCATCAATTGTCCTACAGGTCCCGTTCCCTTTAAATATCAGAAGGTTTATCTACTCTCTCAGGAGGAAGAAAGAATAGACAGATCTTCGCTGCCTTATTGTCCCTCCTCAGTTGGTCTCCCAAAGTCAAATGGGAAGTAATGAAACCAGCACTTTGTGAGCTGTCCATGGCCGGAATTACTTGGGAAGCATATGCTACATCTTATTGGCCAAACTGTATCTTTGAAGTCAAAATTACAGTTGCAAACCTAGGAGCCAAGTTCATTGGATGAAGTCTACTCTGAAAAGAAGAGTGAGCAAGGAATAGTAGACTACAGACTAGAAATCCAGAAAAACCCTTAAATTAGAATTAGATTTAAAAAAAAGAGAGAGATGATGTGAGTGGAGGGGAAAAGGAGATAGAAGGAAGGAAAGGATTGCAGAACTTGGCCTGGAAAACATCTCTCAAGTAGGTCAACCCAGGATTTCTTGAAGTATATCACTAGTAAATGCAGATTGTGTGGGGTGGAGGTAGCATATTCAAAACCAACTTTAAAAGATTTTCTTTTCATCTGTTTACCCCTTCACTCAATTATCCCAAGGAAACTCTCTACTGGGTACCAGCATCTTTAATGACACTAATGCCTTTAAGAGAGAGAAGAGACCAGGCAAGACCTCCACTAGAGTTTCATTTTTGAGGCCTTCAAGTTTTCCATTATGCTTACTGTCTATTCATGGTAATTGATGCTGGTATTCTATATGTGATGAAGGCAGATGTTTCTCTTTTAAAATAACATGGATTAAAAATGAGTCCATTTAGATACCAGTACTGTGATGGCAATCCCCAGAAGAGGATGTGTTTTAAGGGTAGAGCTAACTTGTGTCAAAGAGATGTGCATGTCAGGAGTTCATTCTCCCCTATTTAGAGTGCTGGGGTCTCAACATGTACTCTGACCTCTGACCTCTGTGTTGCCCTTCTTCGCACTTCTTATATGGGAATCTTATAGAGTTTGTTCTTTGAAGAACTGTAAATAAGAACAGAGTAATATTTTTTAAAACACTGAAAAGGCTTGACTTAGGTCAGATTCTCCATGCTTCAGATGAGAGACAGTCCCAGAGAGATCAAAGGTATTGCCAGGCTCTTCATTCTTGCTTGGAACGTAGAGAAAATATTCGGATGCACTGATGTTGTGATGCAGGAGAGACCCAGGAGGCAGCACATCACATGGAATGCTCCAACTCAATTTCACCTAGATTTTTACACTGAAAAAAAGCAGTGAGTCTTTGGAAGGTTTCTGTTAATTAGTTAAGAACTTTAGGGGTTATTTGAAGACTTTCCTCTTTAAACAAAATTCTCTTGCTTCTCCATGCACCTGTCTACACTTCCACAAAACGAAGGACTTTTGGCAGGATCCTCCTTCTTGGGACCCGATAGCTGTTGGCTCTAGGAACCAGTCTGGAAAGCGGCTTTAGGAGAGTCCAGGGAGAAAAAGACGGCACAGAATACCTGTGGAAGTCATCTGGTGGGACTGTGGGATTCTGGGAGTGTCCTTCGGGCCCCTGACATTGTAGCAGCCCCTTTAAAGAGTATTAATTGATTAGCTAGGCTCACCCACAAAGGGAAGGTGGGACATCACTACTGCAGAAGAAACAGGAGGGAGGGAGGCTAAAAGAACAGAAGATGCACTTAGAAACAAGACCGTCACTTGAACAACAGCAACACATTGAAGGCACCACCCACGCTTATGACATTTTCACTCCAAAGCAGTTGAAGTTTGGCAGCAGCGGCAGCGACACGCTGAAGGGGAAAGGACATTGGGGACAGACAGTTCATAGAGGACATTTTCGTCATTGTTCCAGGTCTTGGAGGTGAAGGAGAAACACCAGGAAGTGGAGACTTCTCAGTTCCCATCACACCTCCTATTAACTCTCCAACTGCAAATTTTCTAAGCCCTGGACAAAATTAATATGCTGTTCATTTTACGTGTCAATTTAAAAGTTCATTTTTTTAGTATTCTCTGGACCCTCTGGTCATCAGGAAAAGCCCATCCCTCCCAACATCATGGTCTTTCAGGGAGTTCTCTAGAATATTCTTCTCTTCCATCACTGATGGTGGGCTTAGAGAATATTAACTTGTGAGTTTTTTTTTTTTTTCAGCTTTGATGGTATTCAATGTTCCATCAGTATAATGCTTAGGGTCCATTACTGCCTCACACTCATCACTATTCTCTGTTTCCATCACTTCTTGGGACTAGGAAATGCTTATGATGTGAACAAATTCCTCCCCAAGCACTTTGAAGCTATCCCTGCCGGTGTGCCCACCTTCTTCCTTTTACCAGGAAAGACGTAACATTGGGGGATGGAGTGTACTCCATGGGCAGTTTGTCTATATTGTGCTACTTATATATATTTGTTAGAATGGATTTCAGTTTCCAGTTAGGGGGGTAAAGAAACATGAGCCCCCACAACTTGGGCCTGAAGCTGAAAGTTTCCCCTCTGCTGTATTGCTCAATGTCCATGCTTCGGTCTCACTCAGCTGCCTGCTCGAGCATATTAGGCACGGCCCAGGAAAAGCATGATTCTGTATCACGAGTAGGTCTGTGATTGGTTCCTGGAGAACGGAGTGTGTGTGTCTGCTTGGGGGTTGGGCAAGACCAGGAAGGTGTAGGTGGGATGGTATTTTTTGCCTCTCTCAGTTGAATATGGTCTTCAGGGTACTCCCTGAAGTGAAAGCTCAGACAGTCACTTCTGTTTTGCTGTTGGTGATGAAGTATGGCTGTGTGGGTGGGAAATGCTGGGTGCGAGTCCCCAAGGGGTCGCAAGAGCCTGACTCAGCTATACCAAGCTTGCCCTTGTTGCCGTAAGCCTGTCGCCGAAGAGACTGGTCACTGGGGTCCCAGGTCTTAAAGTTGGCAGTAGAGTTGTAGGCCAGGGGATGAGGGGGCATCTTGTTGGTGCGAGACTTCTGTCCATTCTGCTGTGTAGGCCCATGCTCCGGGCTGAAGGCCCGGGGCTCATCTTCCACTCTGACAGGGTGCAAAGGGAGATTTCCCTTGGCAGCCAACTCCGCCAGGTGCCTTCGCTTGGTGTAGAAGTCATCATTGATCTTGTCAGCTGCACAGAGGTGGGCAGATGGAGAAAAGAGCAGAGACAGGGAAGAGAGAAGAGATAGTTAGGGAGTTAGGCTGGTCAGTTTGAGAATACTGCAAAAATGGGCTGACAATCCAAACAAGACAAATCGGGACTCCACCTGGAACAAGACAGAGGCAAGCGTGGCACCATGCCCTTTTCACAGTTCAGAGCAGGAACAGGAGGTTTCAAGGTACACCCAATTAAGCACATCTAGACCACTCAATTAAACACATGTAGACCATCCAAATAAACATATCTAGACCACTTAATTAAATAGTTCTCCCATGGCAGTTCCACACCTCTTTCCCCTAACCTGTTATACACACACACACACATATATATATATATATATATATATATACATATATATATATATATACACACTAAGGAATAGCAGTATTGGCCAGTGGATGTATGTATCTTCATCTGGCCTCTTCTGGAGTTTGTGTGTATGTGTTGGAAGGAACATGAGAACAAATATCAACTTCAGATGTCTTTCTGAATTACTCCCCATTTTGTTTTTTTTTGTTTGTTTGTTTTTGTTTTTTTTGTTTTTTTTTGAAGCAGGATCACAGATAATGCCAGATGGCCAACTACAGAAGCTCAAGGGTTCTCCTGTTTCCATTTTCCCAGCACTGGGATTATGAGAGCATACCTTGACTTTTCTAGGTCTCAAACTCAGGTGCCCCTGCTTGTACAGAAATCATGACACCAACTGAGCCATCTCCTGGATTGTTCCTAGTTTGTGTAATTAGTTTTTGTTTGTTTGTTTGTGTTTTTGGGTTTTTGTTTTGTTTTGTTTTGTTTTTTCGAAACAGGGTTTCTCTGTGTAGCTTTGGAGCCTATCCTGGCACTTGCTCTGGAGACCAGGCTGGACTTGAACTCACAGAGATCTGACTGCCTCTGCCTCCCGAGTGCTGGGATTAAAGGCATGCGCCACCAATGCCCGGCTTACTGATATTTTGTTGTTTTGTTTTGTTTTTTGTTTGTTTGTTTGTTTGTTTGTTTTGCTGTAAGCTTTAACTAGCATTGTGCTCAAATTCCAGTTCTGCCTCAGGCCTGCAGTATAACTTGGCTGTCTTACTTAAATTATACCATCGACTTTTGCATAAGAAAAGTACTCAGAACAAACAAACTGTATTTCATGGTGTTGTGGGGACAGCTAAGTGATTTGATGTGTACTGAGCACTTTCAGTGTTTCTGTCTTGGCCATCACTATTATCAAAACAGCTTTAACTCCTCCTATGATAGTCTATGGAACATCCCCTAAATTGCCACAACAACTTAACAAAAAACATCTTAATGACTAAATATTATTTCATCAATTATCAAAGTTAATCCCTTTAGTGATGAAAAGTTAAGCTATGCCAATGTTATATTCTTATAAATAAAGCTGAGATAAAAAATCTTTTTACTCAAATCTTTTGAATTAAGATTAAGTCTAAAACACGTTTTCTTAATCTGCACCAGAAAGTAGCAAACTGTGGCCCCAAGAACTTAGCTACCATCTGTTGTTATAAATAATATTTTCTCAAAAACAAATGCATGCCCATTTACCTACTGCCAGTGGCTGTGGTGAAATCAAGTTATGTGGCAGACAACCGGTGGCTGAAGAGCCTGAAATCTCCACTACTCAACCCTTTAAGAAAAGATAGACTGACTCCTGATCTGGATTGTCCAGTGTAGAGTGCTGTCTCCAAAGGGTAGAGATGTTGTCACTGCTCTGCATTTTACCAACTGTTAAGATTTGAGCCAATTCTCACCACACCCTGTCCTCACCGAATGATCCCTGGCTTTCTCCCCTCCTCCTTCTCACTTCAAATACTGTATTTACATCATTTGTACTCCTCCCCCCATGCCCCATTTCTCCCCTTCAAAGTCCCTCTTCTTCAATTATATTGTTGCAAATATGGTGTGTGTGTGTGTGTGTGTGTGTGTGTGTGTGTGTGTACAGTCCAATGAGTTTTCTTAGTGTTGCTGATAGTGCATGCACTTGGGACTGGATGGATAACCAGTCGGGGACTGGTCCTGGAGAAGATTGACTCTCCCTTCCTCAGGAGCCATTCATTGTCTGTATCTCTTCACCTGCAGACGGGAATTTATTTATTTAGATCCTACTAATCTAATAATCTGATGATTCCCCTTTTTCATTTCCTCTTATTTTATCTTGTAACTTATTTTTTACTTCTAATGTTCTTTATAATTTTCAATTCATTTATTAAAAATACGCTTTTGAAGTTTCATCTCACCAAGCAGTTTGTTGTTCATTTGCCTGTGCTGCTAACAGCTAACATCCCATAGAATCCTCAGGAGGCTACAGATGGTTGGTAAGCACTGTTCTTCGTTCTTTCATCACTCGATCTTTCTATACAAAGGATGGGCATTTTGAATTCTGTACATGGGTTCTGCTATACAAGCTAGGGAACTGTCAAGTTCAAACACACGAAATGGCCTAACTGAGGTTACCCACAGCTAGTAGCTCAATCCTGGTAATAAAAGCAGCTGCCTGGGATCAAGGAGACAAATATTCAGGTACCCAGAACCATCTCTAAATGTGTTTAATCGGAATCTCAGAAAGGCCAGTCCGGACACCCTTTAAATCCACACAATCAATCCTAACCCACAGCTGGGTTTGAGCACTCCAGGGGCATCCTCTCACAGTGGCACAGGTAGTTTTTAGGGAAAATCAAAGGGCAATGGATTCCCAACACTGCTGATATCCTTCACTTCTCCCACTTGAGAGGATCCTTCCATAACATACTCTTCTTTGAGGTTCTTGCCATTGTCCCACTCGACAGCTGGGACACTGTCCACACTATGTTCACTGTTGTTTACCTTGCTCACTAGAACTCCATCATGGCAAGGCCAGGTCTGTGTTTTGTCTTCCCTTTCGTAACAACGTGAAGCTTGGTCTCTAGCAAATATTGGAATACAAATGTCCAATGGTGAGTGTATAAGCAAAATACCATAAAGCGCAGAGGAGCACATCTGGTCAAGAGTATGATGGAGAAATCCCCCTTCCTATTGCCTGCCCAGTCTTCTCTTACTGAAAAATCTCACTTACCTTCATTATGTACCGGTCCTGGTCTGCCATGGCCATTTGAGTACTCCTACTCCAGACATTAAACTAAGCCCAAGATCTGATGGGAGCATGGTTCAAAGGTTCCCATCTTCACAAATGGGAATACTGTTTATGGAAGAGGCAAGGCCATCTCAGAAAATATAAAGAGAAGTAAGCATGGGTACATTTGACTCTTGGGCTGTCAAGGAAGATGAGAGGGTCCTTGTAGCTGACCCAACCCAAACTGTTCTCTAGGTGAACTTGATATTGGAAACACCTTGGGAAGTGTAGAGTAGATTTTATAAAAAAGTGTGTGGACTCTGAAGTCAGACAGACCACAAAGATGCCACTAAACACCTTGTACCTGTTTCCTTAGGCTGAAATGGGGATAACACTAAATACAGGTAGACTTACAAGGAATGAAGTGTATGTGATATATATGCTATATACAATAGTTCCTAGAGCACATTACAACTGCTCAATACATATATTTTATCTACTTTTTGCCTGGCCGTAGTAGCACAGAATTGTAATAAATATACATTTATCAATATTTACTCTGTACCAGGCAACCTACTGGGCATGAAGTGGGCATACATCAAACCAATCTGCTTCCTTACGGCTTTTTTCCTCTACCCTACCTAGCATGTTCATTAAGGGCCCAGTTACTCCATCAGACAATAAACAGAAATTGAGTAGTGGTCAGGCCAGGCTTCCATAAAGAAATCTTCTTTAAGCTGGCATGTAAAGGTGATGAGTAAATCTTCACTGTATCACAAGACTAGCCATAGTCCTCTGCAGCTCTTCCTATCAGGGGACAAAGTCTATTTCTGCACAACTAGAACTGGGCCTGCTTTATTGCTTATTTCAACTAGGTTTTAGCAGCTTCGGGGAGCAACTGCTTGAAGCCCCTTCCCTGTGAAGCCCAGCTTCTTATCCGTAAAGGATAAGAAACCCACAGGCCTACTACTCATATTCAATGTAGCCAACAGTCTTCCAGTGACCAACTGTCTAGTGAGAGCATCCTCCTGGACAACACAGCTAAAGTCAGCCTGGCTAAGTTCCATGCAGAACATTCAGTCAAACCAGAAGTAGACTCAGGACCATGATCCCAATAAGTGGTGGCTGTGTCGAGCATTTGTTGTGTAGCACATGATAAGGGACACACAGCAGCATGGGAAGAAGCATGGTAGCTTTGGGAAACTGAAACACTTATGTGGTACAGGGAAGAAAGCAAAATTATACCCTATCATCTACTGTCCCATGCCTGTTGATGTGGCTGACCAAATCCCTCCAAGGGACTCTGGGGGTGTTTTAGAGAAGTGAAGTGCAGGCATAGCTTTAGTACCTGGGGGCAGAACAGACACCTCCAAAGGATGTTGCAAAGATTTTTTCAAACACAGAGAGGTGATTGGAGGCTATCGGGGTGAAGCACCCTCACCTGGCAATGCAGTGTTCATGAAGCCTGCACCCCCTCCTGTATTTCTGGTCTCCTCTTTGTGGACTAAGATGGGGGCTGCTTACCTGACACACTACATGTGTGGTCCTGTTTTAATATGTCACAAAGCACCTAGTGAGGGAAATAACAGATTCACTGAGCAGTCTTGTAAGCTTCATTAACAAATGCATTAACCTAATCAGCCTCACACCTCATAGGCAGATGGCTGACAACCTGACCAAGAAACAGATGCTGTGGTCATTCAGCAACATTAGAACTCTCTGGTTTGATTTCCTCTTTACCTGAAAAAGAGGGAGAAAGGAAGAAAAAGGTGCTTTCCTTCCAATGAGCCTAATTGCCTTGAAGGAACCAGGGTGGTAAAATACAATCTCACCTCCCTCCATCTGTCTCTCTTTTAATTAGCAGCAGACAGTGTAGAGGTGCGGGTGGGGTGGAAGCCTGCATCTGGGGAAGTAGTGCCGA